GGGCATTGGGCAGAGTTTGAGCATTTGATTTCACAATTGCAACTCTTTACTTATCTACTTGGTTACTCTGAAGAGATTTAAAATACATAAATCCTGTTCCAGGGACTGTTGATATCTTTTACATCTGAGCAGTTGTTGGATAAATCTGGCACACAGAAACAGGGAGTCTGGTAGGTCTGATGGTGGCATGTTTATATGGGCACGTGAGGTCTCCTTATCTCCTGTTCTTGTCCAGGTGCCTTCAGATGAGTCCAAAGCCCCACTCCTATCCCATTCCAGGCTCATACCTTTATATGGTGACCTCATTCAGAGAATTGGAATTTGGTGCAAGTTGTTGAAAGACAAATAAAGTTGGGGCTTTTTTGGCCCTGCTTGAGCAGGGGTGTTCGACTGGCTGGTCTCAAGAGCTCCTTTCCCACCTAAATGGTTCTGTGATTCTTGGTGATTTCACTTCTGAAGGCAGCAGTAATGCTATTGTGATAATCATGTTAAAAACTCATTAGAAACAAAATCCAGAGGAGAATACATGTGCACACTTAAGTTCCTTCCACACCCACTCCCCTTTACTGTAAACATTAAAATTCCCTTTAAATGCTGCTGGTCCGTTTCTCCTGTGGTTGGTCAATGGAAAAGAAGTGCTAACTCAGCGTTGTGAAGGGCAGAGAGACGCCATTCCGCAGTCTGCAGTAACAGATGGAGACCTTTAAAAGCAGGGTTGCTCTGGGCATTAAAATATCCCTGAGCTGAAACGTTTGATTCTTTCCCCTTTGGAGAGAGTAAGAAATGCGTCAGACTAGACCATAACAGGCTTTGGTCTTCCATGGCTATGAAGAAGTGCAAAATTTGTCCACTACTGCTAATAACTGACTATAACGATACATTTTAAAAGATGCCTGCAGCTATAAATATAAGCAAGTATTTTAGAGGCCTTTATACATGAAAAGAGCCCTTTAGAAATAAAAATCTTTGCCATCAGAAAATACTGTTTCCAGTACGGCCTGATAGGAGATTAAATGAGAGTTAAAGAAGGCATCACATTCAAATATTCTCCACTTTGAAGCTTTCTGTGCATGTTTTGATGATCAGCCTTTAAGCTTTTTCAGTTCCTAATCTGAGTGTGATTCTAGGTGAAGAGATACCTGAAAGGTTAGTCTTATTTTTTTTGGTGAATGTCATGTTGTCTGATGCTCCAGTTTCACTATATAGTATGAATGAGGTCAAACCCTGACCCACTATTGAAACAGTCCATGGACTGCTGACTCAAAAATTGCCCCTGGGTGTTAAGAGACATACCATATTGTTTTGCCATTCTTTTGCTACATTGGGACATATATTTCATGGGATATCTTTATATGTGTTACATATATTCAAGTTTCTTGTTATTTTTTTCCCCTGATCTGGCAGTATTTTCTGATTAGGAAACTTTGCTAACCATTCCACATGTCATAGTCCATACAGCTATATTAAAATGTGGACTATGTTCAGTAGTTTGGTCATTAATAACATATGGCACTTTGGCGATGGCTGATGTAAGGTAAGGCTCAACCAGTCACTTGTCTCCTAACTGTTCACGTATACCAAGCAGGCTGTGAAGCAATTTACATGGTATCAAAAAGCAATGAGGAAAGAAGAATCTGTCTCCAATCCCAAATTGAGTACAAAGGTGCCTTTCCTCCTTCCTGTATCCATCCCACCCCATCCCATGCACATCTGAGTATGGGGTAGCCACAGATCTTGTCTTTATGCTCTCTTTTGGGGCATGACATCTTCTTTTTCAAGCTGCCTACAAGTGGTGGTAGTTTCCCCGCCTGGTAACTGCTGAGTTTGTACTTTATTAGTCAAGACTAGTTGCCTTTCATGTGTTAAGCTTAACTTGTGTTTGTGGTTCCTTTCAAGACAAAATTTTGCTTTAGCGCCAGGGGATACAGAGATGTGACCAGAGGAGTCACATCCAGCTTTAATTTACCATAAGCTCACAGAAGAGTCATGTGAATTTTTCTCAGGGATGAAGAGCGTTGAAATTGCTTGGTCTGCAGCTTAAAAAAACTTCAGACTATAATGCTCTTAATTGTTTTTAGAAAGGGGAAATTGGACTTTAAAATGTTCAAAAGGAAGCAAGCCTTTTAAGTGATTCTAAATCACTGGGGTGCTTTAAAAAATAATTTCACTGTAACTTGAATTTTAATTGCCTGCCCCTTCCTCTTATTGTCATGGTACTTTCATTCCCTCTGTTTTCCTGGAAGAGAGTGGTGTTATTGCTGTTTATTTTAAGAAATCCACTGGAATTTGTCCTGCAGTGCAGTAAAATTTCAGGGATGGATATGTTTTAATATTCTGTATTATGAATATTTTTTATATCTTTGTAATTAAAAAAATGAAGTTTTAATGGCTGCTTTCCTATAAACCCTGGACTGCTGCATTTCCAGCATAAGAAGCTGAGGACAGACAATGCCAGGTGCAGCCAGAATATTGCTGCAGCCCCACAACATATCATTTTTTTAACATTATTCAAATTAGTCTCAACACTCATAATTCTGTTGTTTCCTTTATTGCTGTTGTAAAGCAAATGGTTCTTTTATACAAATGTTATCTCCTGGCTATTAATTCAGCAGTTATTTTGGATTATGGCACTCCTGTTAAATTTAGGAATGTAAAACCTCATAAATATTTAAAAGTTTCAGACTGACGTGGGAAGAAATTGTTTTTGACTTGCTTTGTTAATATCCTGTTGTTCAATTTGTAATAGATTTGGAATATATTGTTATTTCTCCACTGTTTGACAAAGGGAAAAACAATCGTACTTGAGCAACTGCTTCAAGTGTTCTCCCTTGAATTGTAACAGGCTGGTAGAAGTGTTTGTTTCCCGTAAAAAATAGCAAGGAAAATATCTGTTTTCCTTTAAGAGGACAAAAAACATGAAAATTTTAACCAGAGCCCACTTCAAAGTTAATAAAAATGCAACAGTGGGCTTGTAAAGATAGTTTCGATAAAACAATTTCAAGTAGGTCTACTTAGAATCAAGTGCTTCTGTTTTAGCATCTTTGCAATTTAAACTTCTCTCTGAGGGACAAACAAGTAAGATGGACAAGTGTGTTTCTTCCCTCAGAGACATTTTATAGAGTGCATTTACTGTGCAATGAGTGTATTCATAGACTAAGTATTAGTATGCATCTTGCGTATCTCCTAAAGCTCTGAAGAATAATTGAATGATAAAAATGTCACATTTTCTGTAAGACCGCTGACGGTCTGGACAGCACAGTCTCTGGGCCAGTGTTCCTGTTTCACACCTAACTGGATTTTCTCTCTTTCTTTACCTCAGAAGTACATAGCTTTGCAGCCAGATCTTAAAGCGTGTTAAGGTGTAACACATGTTGGGATCACCTAGAAGTATTTCAAATATTTCAATAATTATTCAAAAAAAGATGATGAATTGATTCAACCTGGATAAGTATGCTAGCAGACAAAGCAAGTATGCAATTAACAGAACTTACATCTCTGCCCGCATACTCCAAAGGTTCTTCAGCTGTGTCCTGGGATGACACTTGACTTGATGGGTTTGTTGTATTATTTCCTATGTCAATTAATATCACTGACATAATGCCATGACTTTTTGTGGTATTGGCATACTTTATTGGGTGCTGAACAGAAAAGACTTTTCTTCTAGCTAGCAAATAAGCTAACACTGCAATGTTAATACTATTTTATGGCAGGTTTGCACCATCTTCTCTTACATGGTATAGCTAAACCAGCTAAATCTCTGCATAAAGTAATTATCAAGGTGGCACTTTCCCTCTGGACAGAAAAAGCTTTTTACATGTCAGTAATTTGTTGTAGTGAGGGTGCAGTACTTTAAAACACAAGTTTTCAAAAAGGAAACCATAAGGGGGTCACATAGAAGCTGTAACTGTGAAGATGAACTTACAGTTGCATGAACAAATTGGTATTTCATGCGAGTGAGTAGCTGGATGTGCCACACCAGCTGAGTCCATGTGATTTTAACTAGTTCAGCACAGTCCAGCTTACAGCCTGTGGGCTGGATCCAGCCCCTTTGTGAGGTTTCTGTCCAACCCGTCACCTTCTCACTGCAGGAGACAGGGAACAGATGCTCCTTCAGCAAACGCAGCCTCTTCCACCTGCCCTCCCTAGGGAGGTGAGTGGCAAGTCCGAGGGGTGTAAGGAAGGGCAGACAAGCCCGTGAGGGTTGTCAGCACCTCCGCCTGGCTCCCACAGGTGCTGCCACTGGGCCAACCACAACACACCTGTGTGTGCAAATGTATGCGTTAGCCAGTCCTGCACACTCCTTCTGATGTTTCTGTGTGCATTAAAAGCGCATTCCTTCCTTACAAGCAGAACAAAAGTCTGCTGTTACATGGACAAAGCAAAATGTAAGGCTTTTGCTGTTTATTGACTTACTACATATCAGCATGTTGAAAATTATTTTTATTTTACTTTGAAAAGTACTTGTGCTAGACATTTCTTGTATTACTCTTTTTTTGGTTCTATGAATATGTAGTGAACAGTGAAAAGCAAAGAGCACTTGTATGCTCATGAATGTAAAGACATTTGGATGAAGAAATTCTGCCGAGGAGTATATTTACTTTGTATTTCTGAATGGTAGCAATTAAAATTCCCAGCTGCTGGCTGTCCAGATGTTTCTTGCATTACAGCATTGTAATTTGCATTGGAATATATTGTGTTACTGCAGTAGCTGTAAAGTGGTCAGCTTTCACCATCTAAATGCTATGTACGGGCTCCACTTGGGATGGTGAGCATATTTCCTGCTCATACCAGGTTCTTCTCCTTCCCACTGTTTCCTCACTCCATTAGCTCGACATATTTGTATTTCTCAGATGAAGACTTATATTGCTCAGCATTCAAATCAAACAGGGGATGTATTGGCAGGTCAGAACTGATGTATGGATGGTTTCTTGTGAGAGTGACACAGAAAAAAATACCCAGTTTTTGAATCAGAAGTTTCCCTTTCCCTTTGGCATTTTCAGGCTGCAAACATCCCTCTGGTGTCAGAGCTTGGCATTGATGATATCCATTTTGATGACTTCTCACTTGATGTGGATGCCATGATTACTGCAGCCCTGCGGATGTTCATGGAACTTGGAATGGTTCAGAAATTTAAAATTGACTATGAGGTAACCATCTGCGCTACAGAGATAATCTGCTGCTTTTGTCTTGGCACCGCTCTGTCCATTTGTACACATTTAGTAGCCTTGATACAATTTGTACTCTTCATTTCAGACACTGTGTAGGTGGCTTTTGACAGTTAGGAAGAATTATCGAATGGTTTTGTATCATAACTGGAGGCATGCTTTCAACGTCTGCCAGCTAATGTTTGCCATGTTAACTGTAAGTATCCAGTTACAGACACAATCCTGTAAAAGCTTTTACTGCCACATTGCCTTACCTGTCTAAACATTTTCCAACTTTTGATTTCTAGTTATTATGATATTAATTTCTAAATGCACATGGAAGTTATTCAACTTAAGGCGGCACATATTTGGCAAAACCTTATAATGTTTTAGTGACAGTGATATCACAGGCACATTAAAGTGACTGAAAACAGATGGCAGTCTTGGAGTGAGCTTGTTGTTATAGATCTTGATCTTACAAAAATGTTTTTCTGTTGGAACTCTTTGATTTGACTTTTATTTTAGACTTTTAAATTGAGAAGTACAAACCAAGGAAGATTAGAATCTCAGAAGTATTTATTATGTTTATATTTATTACCTCCTTATCCAGCTTCATCTAAATAGTTGTATTGCCTTAAAACATTTTAAAACTGTCTTCCAACAGAGTGATCTAAGTGAATCTTATGTCTCCACTGGACACTGTAACACTTCTGGGTTTCATTAACATGTATTTCCATCAGTACCAGTAACTCCTTTCCGCATGCAGGTAAATTCTGTTGAAAGTACCACTGCTTTTACTTGCTCTCTCTCCCTACCCAACAGCAACCTCACTGCATGAAATACTTCATGTTTGGCTAGTTAATTCTTGTAAATGTATCAATAAAAAGCTCAGTGATCCTGGATGTTTAATATTCCGGTTAATATGGCAAAAGAGAAGCAACATGCCTGTGTGCACACAACACTTTCTGCTGTACTTTACATTTGGGGTTTGCCTTATCTCCAGATAAAAATAAGAATTCAAGTTTTTCCATTTTTTTTCTTCATGTTCAGGTTTAATGGTCTGAGTCATCTATTGCGAAGCTTAAAATGGTCATATTAATAGCATTTGTGCATTTATTTATCCGGGATACCGTGTGCTTGTTCCCTAATTTTTTAATCACTGAATGTTTATGTTCTTGCGCTGGCTGCTCTCTGTGGCACAGTTAGAGCTTGGACCCTGTCTGTAGAGGTGGAGAACACACAGCCTGTGCCATCTGCAGCACACATCAGCGCAGTGTTACACGGCCTTGAGCCAGTCTGGGGCCTGTTTCCCGCGCACAGGGCACAGCTGCCTTGTGGGGGGCTTCCCGGCTGTCCTCCTCCCTTTGACGTTGTGTCCGTGGCACAACTTTGTGTGTCGGGCGAGAAGAGAAAAAAAGAGTATGATGTCCCTTAGCACTAAGTAGATGTAGTGCTCGGTCTGTCCCAGTGGTGTGGGTTTGTTTCTGTGAGCATTTAGGGAGGCATAGCAAAGTTGTACCGTACACCGTGAGACAACGGAAACGGAGACATTCAACCGGAGCGCAGGGTCACCTCTTCTTCTGGGAGCGAGGCCCTTCAGCTGAGCAGAATTAATGTTGTTTCAGCAGGCATTTTACAATCATCTCTGATGAAATCTCATGATAGTGTGTGGTCATTGGTCGTTTTTAAAGTTTTATAAACTTGACTTTTTTTTTTTTTTGTTGTTATAGAAAAATGAAAAGCTTTTTTTACTCTGAGAAGTAAGGGCAAAGTCAGGCAGTGCCGTTCAGCTGGGAATTACCTTAATTCCTGCCGAACGGTGCCGGGGGTGAGGAGCCCTCACACCTCCCCCGTGAGAGCCTCTAGGTGGAGCTCCGAGGCCGGGTTTTGGGCAGGCTGCTCCGCGGAGCGCGCTCCCGCAGGCTTCATCTCAGCTCGTGGTGACCGCGCTGACACCCAGCGCCGAGAAAGCAGATCCTCCTGCTTCCACAGCCCCCAGCAAGCCTGGGCGGAGGCCTCAACCGTGAACTGCTTTGGCCGTGGTCCTCAAAGCATAATTGCAGCATCCATTTAGCAGTCAGCGCAGGGACGCAACTGTCTGTGACAGGTGATCCGGGATTTTCAAGCTAAACGCATTTCATTGCCCACAGTCCTGGTAATAAACTGAAGGAGCAGTTCCACATGCAGGGCTGGACATGTGCGCCCATGGCATTGAACTCACCACTCGTCCACCTGAGAACTGAGTGTATGATTGGCTTCGGCTGCTCTCCCTTCCAGAGAGAGGAAGACTGACATTGCAAAAGAGATAGTCAAGAAACTAGTAATAGCACAAGGCTTGCTCTTACTGTGGTTTTCTTGGGGAAGCCATCCAACTTAGTATATGCCTTGTTTTTTCACTTGCAAAAAGGGGAACATTCTTAGATGGTCAGGAAGGCACTGCTTTGTGCAGTTATTGCACCCTGTTCCTGATTTCTCCATGGCAATCAGCAATATTGACTGCACCACAAATATAAACCAATAGGTCTATTTTAGGGATGTTTTAGGTAGGACTTACCGTAGCGTAGTAATGTTTAATCTGTAACGTGGTAGCCTCTAATGGTCCGACTGTGCTCCCACCGAATGCAGAAGGAAAACTCAGCTGGGTGGAACAAGCCAAACAACAGAAACCAACAAAGCTTAAACCAGTTGTTTCACTCCTGGGTCAGCCTTCTGCACATCTAAGGTATGTTCCCATATATGTAAGCATGTATTTTCTGTCTCCAGTCAGAGACTGAACAATCATAAGCCCAGTCCTGCAAGCCATACTTCAGTATTTCAGACTTGCCCAAATATTCGGAAGACAAGCAGTGGAGCAGGGCTGCTCCTGCGAGTTAAGGATGACACATGAGACTAAACCACAGGATCAAGCCTAGACTTCATTATCAATGCTTTTGCCTAACACAGTTCACATGGATACTTATTTCAAACAGTAAAAATGAACAAGTAAGCAGTACAAAATTAAAATCCCATCTGGTGTGCTAATAACAAAACATATAAATGTGGGGCAAGGTATAATGAATGCAATTCATTTCCTCACATGAAAGAATGACCTCCATAACTCACTGGAGACTGTGCCACTCATGAGTTATGGGTCATTCCTTTTCTGGTGAAAATAAATTTTCCTGAACCGTCGTCTATAGCAATGTATTTTTTTCTCTCTGTGTAAATTCAAAAAACGGGGAAATGTAATCCTCTGTTTTCTTGCATTATGTTCAAAGCAGGTATCCCCTTACCGTAACATTGTTTTAAATGTTTTTTATTGTGAAATATGCTATATTTCTCTCATATTCAATGACAATACTTTTGATTAAATAAAATGTTGCATTTTTTTTAGATGTTAATCAATTCCTTAATCTGCATTCCTTCATTTGCAATATAGGTTGAATCCATGAGTTTAATCAAAGCTAGTGTTATGCTAAATATTTATTTAATATTTATTTAATATTTATTACAGCATAACTTTTACATTATAAAACCTCTATTTTAAGTTGTTTTAATGTAGCCATGGACGTTTTCTCTAGATTGAAATGACACATGGCATGTTGTGAGTTACAAGGCTATTTTTTAATCCCTTTTTAAAAAATAGACCTTGATTATTATTTGTTATATAAGAGCAATGTTTAAAAAATAAAAAGAAAAACCACTATTTTTTTAGAGAATTTCCTCTGACTGGATAGCTATTACTGAAACTTAAAAAAAGCAATGCCACTATAAATCAGGAGAGTCTCTTTCACAATAATCAAGCCACTCTGTAGACCAGTGGATTCTACATGAAAGGAATCTTTTTTCCTCATACTTGATCATCTTTTCTGATATGTAAACTCTAAGCACAATTATAAAGCTTTTGTAGCAACTCTTGCACTTCCTCAGTTCCCACTGAAATGCATTCCTGAGCATGTGGGGGAGCTTGGCTCCCTGTACTGCCTAAATATTAACTGCAGCCACATTTCAGACTGTGAAAACAGAGGCTATTTGGATTTGAATGTGCATTTATTTAAGTACAATTTGTGGTCTTCAGGGTGAATAGCAGGGTTTTCACATGGTATTGCAGCAATTGACTGGCATTTCTGAGTGGGATGTAAGTTCCTACCAGGTAAGGACATCAAATCCCACTGATATTCACTGTCTTTGTATCACTTAACTCTCTTCTTGCCAGTGGGTGAAATTATGCCCCGTTGAAAATCACTGGAATTCAGGATTTCTTATACACTGTTCGGTTCAGCTTTGGTTTGGTCCTCGAACATAAATGTAGTTTATATTCTTTTTATATAATTTCCTTTCTTACTAACTAAATCGTGTGACTGATTGAGGAGTGCCGTTGGAGACTGGCACTGTGGAAATACGAGTATTAGATTTTCCATCTCAGCCAGTCATTTTTGCAGGCAATATGCCCTTATGCTTCTGAAGAGTCAAAGAACCAGGTTGTTTCTGCCATGGGTAAGAGGCACAGCACCTGCCTGTGTCCCACGCAGGCTCCAGCACCTCCTCCGGACAGGATCTGTTCAGGATGCTTGGTTAGCTATGACAGTAGTGTTTCTTTTCTGACATGAGGCAGTTCAAGCAGGAAAACTGCTATGGCAACGATCCGCAGAAAATATAGTGGCAAAAAAATGTTTCTAGGATCAGCTCCCCCATTCACACGGGTGTATCTGGTCTGAGCTGCTCATGGGGAATTTTAATACTCAGTTTCCAAAATTCTCTCCCAAATTCAAATGGGTATTCACAGCAGAAATATGCCATTTGAGACAGTTCCTCTTTAAATCATGCCGCTTCATTTCATGTGTCCCAGATAACAAAGCTCTTAATAGTTCATAACAGTTCCATAGAGTATATTTTAGCTGGCTTCTTTTATAGGTCTTCTGATTTAACGTCTCAGCTATCTCTGACAGTAGGGGTTGACTAAGATGGTCACCTCAGGATTGAAGCAATCTGTCTAAATACTTCTCTGAACATTCATTTCTTGATGGAATCAGTTTTGGTTTGTATTTCTCTGATATGAAATTCCAGGTTCTGTCTTACTGTGTAGTTACTGGTGTTTATTTTCAGCTCTTTTTGCCTTTAGTGCCTTCTGGGTAGTGAAGAAATGGCATGCTGGAAATGCAACAGAGAGATAATAACAGATCACTCCAAGGACGTTATCTGTTCTGCTAACCATCTAACATACAGCAGGGAATATAATATGACAATAAAGCATTTATCTTCTCCTTACTGGAACGTTCATGGTATCAAAACAAAGTTGACTGTTGCTCGATGGACTAACATTACTTATCCCTTTTGCTACTGATAGTTACAGCTGCTTTTTTTTTTTTTTTTCTGCTCTCAGACTGCAGGATTTCAGGAGATTCTAACTGAAATTGAAATTTTAGCTTTGATTGTGGGATGCTTATGTCACGACCTTGATCACAGGGGAACCAACAATGCCTTCCAAGCCAAGTAAGTTTTCTAATTCTTATTACTTTAATTTGGTTTTCTCCCACAAAAGAGCAAAAGGTGACCAGGATAAAGAATGAAGCATTAATTTCAGCCCTCCCAGGCCAAGGCCACGTATTCTTATTCTTGTATGTAGCGAGGAACTATCCATCTTTATCATTCTTTGTTCTTTTGGGTAATTGCTGGCTTGTCCTTTGTGTCAGGCTGTTGAATTGACACCACATATTGAAACGTGGTGCCAAAACTTGACATTCTTTTCAGGCTCAGGTATTCTTGATTCTGTTATTCAAGCCAGGAAACACTGGAACTGTCTACCTGGGTTGTTTTGGCTGACTGGAATGCATCACATTAAGCAAAACCTTGTTCAACTATTAAGAAGAAAAGAAAAATAGGTAAAACTGAAATTTTTTTCACAAAAACTTTCACCCCAGTATAGGCAAGCACACATAAAATAATTCCTAGCTTATGAAGTATGAAGCCGTTGCCATCACGCTGGAGCTCTGATGCATATTGTCCACAGCAGGTGGCTGGAGTAGTTGGGTCACCACATACCTGCCAGCGGTGGAGATCACAGAGTGCCTGGTCTGTAGAAATGCCTCCTCCCTGGCCTGCTCCACATGCCAGAGCACACAGAGCCTGTCTGGAGACATGCTGCAGTGGGCAGGGGTGGGCTGGACACCCCCTGCAATGGTCAGTACCAGAACACAAAGCTGGATCTCGAAGGCAGATTCTTACACCACCTATGTGAAATCTTGCTCTCCAGACCATTTTCAATTCTAAAAATGAATTTTACTCTATTCAAAGTGCTTAGGGACTTGCATATATTTTTACTGTCCAGGCTGCTGCCCTCAGGCACAGTGAGGTAGAAGCAGGTCTGTGGAAGGTTTGAGGAAGGTACTTTATCTTACTGTGGTGGTGAGGGAACATCCTTGACCAAGGTCAAATTCTTTCCAGAATCTGTGTTCCCTGAGAACGGTGAAGGGGGGAGAACAGGAAATGTCCCCTGACAACATCCTGGCCAAGCTGTGAAATAAAACTGTCAGACGCAGAGACTCCTCCAAATCCCATGTTATTTTCTTGACTCCCTAGGTCCCCTACAGTCAGAATATGAGACCTTGAGGCTCTCTTGTCCTGCAGATCCCAGCATGCATTTGCAGCTTTGTCTGTTCTGCATTACTGATAATCCTCCAACATGATGGGGAGTGGTCAAACGGTTGTCCAAAGATATTTGAAAGACAGGGTGATGTTTTATTAGCCTATTTTTTCCTACCTTTTGTAGAAATACTCTGCTGCAATGTGCGTATGCACAGGCTGCTGCATTTCTGGGGGCAAGTTGCCTCAGTGAACATCACTCAAATTGATGTTTCTGATATTCACTAAGCTGCCATTTCCTGAGCTATTGGTGTTGCTGTACACTCTCAATGAAACAATGACACTGTCTGGATCTTCAATCACCATAGCAAGGAAAATCAATTGCAGTGTTCAAAAGACAGAGCTCATGGTGCAAAGGTTACCAAGCACTGCTAGGTGCCTTTTCGCAGCTGAGTCTTGAAGAGAATCAAAAAAGACCAGACAAATGGGAAGGAAGCTCAGCTGATTGATGTTTATGTTCCTAATTTACAAAAAGGAGACCTAAGATTTACATCCTGACCATTTTAGGCTCTGATTCAGTTAACCACTTCTTCACTGTAACATTACACAACAATATCTCTTGTGCAGAGGGATGGCTGAGTTAAAGGTAGAGGTTTCATCATTAGACTGCTATCACTTGTTTGACAACGGACTACAAAAAGGAGGCTACCATTTTACGACTCCATAAAGAAATTGCTGAAGACATTTAACAAAAGACAAACATTACCACACATGTATAAAACATCTCTGAAAACAGAAGCTGTAGTTTTCATAACAGCAGCTATGATTTATTCTTCTAACCTGACATAAATTTAAGCATCACATTTTCCTATTTTATCTTCAGTGTTCAATACTGCTGTTCTGTGTGATGAAAGTTCAAGAGGTATATGATGGAGGCAATATCACAGTTGTCTGAAATGGCTGTGTTATATATCTCAACACCACGTTCTCTGGGGATGATGTTTCCTGGACATCCTCTCTCATATAGCTTCTTCTGATAATTAAATATCAGTAGGGTGCAGTTTTATAGTACATGCTCCTAGGAAACTCGTTCTGTTTGTCTCTAGCATAATCTCTTATTCTCATTTCTTTGGAAAGAAAACCCATCTTGTCGCTTTAGGCTGGGTCCCAGAAATGAAGTAATGGTGAACAGTAACTGTTCTGACATTCCAGTCCCTTTCTCTGCATCTCCTAAAGATTCACAGTTTTATAATTCTATTCCATAGATTTTTGTTCTTTAAACTTAGAAAAACCACCTGCTCTATGCATTTTGAAGACAATTTTAGACAATAAACATGATGTGAAAATATGTTCTAAAGAGATGCTAAACTTCTATATTCACTGCTCTCACTTGTGGTTTTTTGTTTACCTTAGTATTTTTTGAAATACATGACTTTACATACATACAGAACCTCACAGTATTTGCAGTTGTTTTGATGTTGTTGTGTTTTGGGGTTTTTTTTAAAGAGTTTGTAAGCACTCATGGTAAGCCATTGCGTTTATGTCCATTAAGAATTAAAAATAAAAAGCAGTAGCAGAACAGCCGGCCCTAGCTCAAGGACATTACTGTTTGTCTTTACTGCACAGTGGTGCGCCGGTGCTGTTGCATTACAAAATTCCATGTAGTTCCAGGAAAATCTTTAGTCAGCTGATGATACTTAGCAAAGTCTGGAACATAAATGCCTTGTATCTGGCTTTAAATTAGTATTTTGATCTTGGCAACTGTCTTAAGTGTGGTTGCTGAAATGGAGAGGGAGAGTGTGGCTACGTGCTTTCATTACTAAATTGCCTCTGAAATCTGCTTCGTAAGCAGACAAGCAGTAGTTTTTGACTCCCCATGTTCTCTTTCAGGAGTGGATCAGCCTTAGCTCAGCTCTACGGCACCTCTGCTACCTTGGAGCACCACCATTTCAATCATGCTGTCATGATTCTCCAAAGTGAGGTACAAAAGCATTACTATTAATCTCACTGTAAACTGTTGGGTAGTTCCAGCTGGAGAAAGGAAATACCACACACAGTACCTTTTCAATGCCCTCTCCTTGAGGAATTATTTATTGGTTACCACAAAGGTCACAACTAGCACAAAATTAAACAACTACAAATGCTGATCATAGAGCCCAGAGATTATATTTGTCTCAATCAGCTAGGGGCAAGGAGAACATATCCTAATCATATTGTCAGCTTTTCTCAGTCTGCTTACATATATCCTGCTCAGTGGTTTATAGGTAGGTGAAACAAGCTCTTACCTTTCCCCATGGGTGTTGTATTGAGAGTATCACATTCATCCTTTACTGGACCAATTTAATTTATTTCTTTCTGCAATCAGTATTTTTATGATGGTTTTGCATAAATTTAATAAATTATTTTTTAAAAAAAATTTCTATCAATAATATCATGTTGTCCAAAGTACACTAGTTGCTTTGCAGATACATATAAAGACATAGTTCTTGCCTAGAATATCTTATGTGTAACAGTATGCACCATACACTACCCTAGAGATGTAGTGAGAAAAGTAGAAAGATGGACACATAATCCTTACAAAACATTTGATGTATTTTCTTTATTTACACAGAGAGGTTGCTACAAAATGCAGTCAGTATATATGAAAACAAAAATGTTGCTCATGCAGCACAACTGAAGACCATCTGCTGATCTGTAGTAATGTTTGAAGAGCATCTGGGAATGTCCCGTGATCACAGACAAATGGGAATGGGGTGATGGCTTTACCTCTGTGTGCAGTGCCACAGAGATGAGTCATGAGACTGTGGCTTTAGTGATCAGTTTCTAGACATTATATCAGAAAAGTAGACATAGGAAAGGAGAGCACCAGCATGAGATTTAAAGAGCTCAGTCTGCTTAGCCTAGCCTAGCTTATCTAAAAGGTGATACTAGGGATTAAATGGGTCCTTATACTACCAGGGAAAGGCATGAGAAAAAGCAGTATTTGAAAGTTAAACAGACTGGTTCAGAAAAGGGAAAAAGGCAAGGTTGTTTTGTTTTGGTTTGTTTTTCCTAAACCAATGAGACTGTTCAGCCTCTGGAACAAGCTTTCCTGGGAAACGGTGATTTCTCTAGTTTCTGAAATCTTACTCATGACTGAATGTCTCTGAAGACAGTCTCAAGACATGGACAGCTTTGTGAAAGTTTATACCTCATGTCAGTCTAGATGCTTCTCTTTATCTCTTCCAGCTTAAAAATCAAGAAATTTATGGAAAAAAATGCTTTTTTTTTTCCTTGGAATCTACTCCAGCTTCTTTCAGAGATGTAAAATATTACTTGAAATGCAAGTCCTCACCTTTGATCATTCAGGCAGCTGCTTCTCCAGGTCCTCATTTCTAGAGCAGAAAATTAATTCTATGGGGATTTTATCCAATAGATACTATTTGCCAGTGGAACACAACACCCCTTTGTTTGGAATAAATGCATATTTGAACCCTTCAATCTACTTAAAGATACACTAACTTCCACCAGCTGATGAGCAGTTGGTCTCCTCTCTCAAATAAACTGAAAATAGATTATATCCTATCCACTAATGTTGATATTCTAGTCTGTCTTTGCTGTCTAGAAGGAAACATAGCATGCTGTATTATTTCTTTAGATTTTTATCATGTTGAACAAAGGAGCTATTTATCCTTTACTCTTGACATGCTAACCTCAGTATAAGTGATCTTGAGCCTTGTAGTGACATAGTTTTATACACCATGAAACAGATCAGAAAGGCAACAGATATTATAGAATAACAGACAACTTGGTAAATGACCCCTCTTACAAGAGCTGCTGTTTTCCTGATATATTTTGCTTTAGTTTCTTCTGAGTATTTTGATTTTAAACCTGTTTTTCATAAATAAGCTTTAGATTCTCAAATCCTTCTCAACATTTAGGTGGAAAGAAATATTCATTTAATTGCCACAGAGAAGACAATCTTTTATGCATGCCAGATTATTTTTTTAGTCCAATAATTGGCTGATCTATTTAAAAAATACCATCTTTACCTTCAGACCTTATCTCGTCTATGTCTGCAGGCTGTCATGGTTATAGCAATCCTGTTGCTGGAAAATCCTCGTTTTTAAGGGTATTTTAATCTTCCTAAGCAGTAGATGGCACTGCGTAACGAATGTGTGCATTACAGTGCTAAATACCACCAAAATAAAACTCTGTTTATCAAGAATCTCATTATTTCTGTAGGTGATTTGAAAAAAAAAAAAAAAGTGTAGAACTTTTATTTATGTTAGTTTAGTTATATGTGACAGATGTCACAAAGACCACTTTTTAAGCTTACCTTTAGAATTTTTCATTAATTTTTATTTTTTCAGCATATTTTCTCTAGGATTTTGTAGAGAAATTATATGATCTCTGCCCCTCTTAGTTTTTAGAAATTCAGTTACAAAAGGACCTTTCTGCTCTCAAATAGCAATATTAAATAATTTGTTTCTTTTCATTCTGGCCATAGGGCACCTTTCAAATTCTTAATCCATGATCCCTTGAAAAGTAGGCTTTGGGGGCTACAAAGGGCATTTAAACTGCATGAAGTTGTGGTTCTTTAGCCCGCATGGACAATGCCTTGTGTACACCGTAAGACAGCACAGTAATGGGCAGAGTGAGCAAACGGGCTGCTTTGAATGAAAAACTGATTTAGTGTCTCTGACGACTCTAACAGCAGTTTTTGTGCCTGCAAGCAGCAGCACAGATAAATCTATTAGGAGCACAACTCAAAGGCTGCAACGCACAGCTCCCCAAAACATTTAATAAGAGGAAAGATTGAGATGTATCCATAGTTTTTCCTCATAAACTGAGTCTATGCAGGGTCAGAGCAAAGAGTAAATCTTTCCTCAAGAGGCTATAATTTCAGCAGAGTTTAGAAAAACATACCAGGTGCTTGATTACAATCGTCAACTCTTCCACCCCAATGTAATCTCAGCAGTATTAACATTATTATTTTTTTGTAGTTTTGCCATGAATCAGAAAAGGCCTCTGTTACAGGGAAACAGCAGACTAAAGAGAAAACCTTTTAAAAACCTATATTGATTGCTAGCCCTTTACCTCTTTTATCTCTTTCATTATAGGGTCACAACATCTTTGCTAACTTGTCCTCTAAGGACTACAGTGACCTTATGCAGCTTCTAAAGCAATCGATATTGGCAACAGACCTCACTCTGTATTTTGAGTAAGTATTGGCATTTCTTGTATTTGACAAATGAAAATTCGAAGAACTTACTCTAATGACCTATTAAATACCAATAAGGATATATAATATGAGAAATTAGTGTTTAGCTGTGGTTGAAGAGATTTAGTCTAATACTTAGTATATCTTAGGCTAATAGAAATATCTCAAGTGTCCGAGTAAGTTTTGCTTTAATGTGTAACATGAGTGTAATAATAAAAAGCAAGTGAAATCCTAAGCTTATACTTCAAAGCAATCCCAGGAATCAGTTACAACTCAGTTCCATAATTCTTCTGTCCCTTCTGTGACCATTTCTTCACCCATGTAGAAAATCAATGACATTTTAGAATTCTTTTCCATCATTTCTGAGTTTCTAAACATATATGCTAAGAAATAATATACTTAGTTACAGACCCAGTTGCAGAGGTAAGGAAAGCATATATATTGCTGCTTTGAAGACAAATTGTACCAATTTGTATCACATGAGAATTGCTCTTAAAAAGCTTAACTTGAGAGAAGTATCATAGGATCTCTCTCATCCAGTTTTCCTCCTTTTCCTTGTTTGCAAATCAAATCTCTAAGTAGGTTTCAAGTTGGTGCTATTTTATATTCTTCAAATACTGTTAATTATTACCAAGCTCTTCTCAGTGAGAATGTGCGGAAGCCTGTGTGTAGTTGTGGTCTCACCATCACATTTCACTTTTGACATTCCCCTCTCTGACTTACACAGAGAAGTGCTGTCAGATGTGTGGTTTCAGTGTACTGCCTTCCCAGTCTTGACAATAATTCATCCTTAGGAATTTTTGTTTGATGCCCATTAGCATCCTATCCCATACAGTGCTGGGTAGCTTTTAGTAATGTTTTTCTTAGGGTCATATACCTGGATTCTGCCCCCACTTTGTGCTGATGGTTGATACCAAAACAAGTTTCCAGAAAACTTCAGGAAAAGTCTTTACCCTGAAATTGTTCAACTATCTATATCTTTAACTGTTAATTGTAAAAATATGAATTGGGATGACGTTTTTTTTTTTTTTTTTTTTTTTTTTTTTTTGTCGTCATTATTTGGTTACTTGTGCCAAGGACTGTTTCTAAACAGTACCAGCAGAGGACATGCTGGTATTTTTTGTTTCCTGCAAGTCTATTCTTGGAGAAGTTGTATTAATAGAGGGGTTTAGTGAATAATTTTATTATAAATAACTTCTAAACATTAGTCCATGAAGAAATTTCTGCTTGCCGACATGAAAATCCTGAGCAGGACAAATAAACCCTTTTAAGCATCCTCTTTCTGAAGCTGTCTGTTAGGATTGCTTGTTACCTGGGAGGCTGGTATGACAGGGGAATTTGCTGACAGCTTTAAGTGAGACACAAGGACCACAGGGATGTGTCAGTACAGGTTCTCACCACAAATAACAAGCGCTGCAGAAATGTTTTGTGCTGTCAAGGAAGAGATGAGCGAAGAGGCTGAGAGGGAAGGAAGCTGTCCTGGCACAGCCCCATGTGCCCCCCCCAGCCGATATCCCGCAGCCCCTGGAAGAGCCAAAGAGGACCCGCCACAGTGCCTTGGGAGGGAACCCAGCCCAGACTCAGATGTGATGGAGCCCTCTTTCCTGCCTGCCTTAGGTTGAGAAACTACATGGTCAAGTTGTCTTTTTAGTTTTAATACAGAGAAATAATGTCCAAAAAGGGGCATCAGCTGAATTTCAAGATTATTCTTCCTTGTTTTCATAATTGTTTTTTATGTGCTACTTGAATCAGAAAACTTTCAGCAAATGAGCCCTCTTTACTCAGAAGTCTGCAGATAAGTTATCTTTTCCTCTTGTGTTACTATGATTCATTAATCAGGTAGGTGCATGCTACTTTACTTCCAAAAGTGCCTGAAAATCACTGCCTGGAAACGTTGATGATTTACACTTCTTAGAGCCCCCTTATGTGAACAGATGTTTCCGCACAAATACATAACTTATTTTTTCAGTTTGCTGTGTCTTTAATATCTTTGGAGAGGGGGAAATTCTCATATTATTATTCTTAGAATGCCTTGATCACAAAGTCCTACCAAAACAGCAACAAAACTCTAGGCAGAGCAAGGCTTTAGAACCTTCTCAAGGCACTACTTTCCTAGAAACAAACAAAAACATGACTTTCAGTGAAAGATCAGATGGAAAATATACTTGATTTTAGTAGATAATTCTAGATAATGATGCTTGTAGATCATACAACAAGCAAAAGTATAGAGCCAAAATGTTTATAGAAATTCACTTGAGCCACTGGGATGTAGAGCAACTGGATTTGCTGTATACAGCAAGACAACTCTCCCTTCCGTGCAAAATACAACCAGAGTCAATGTTACTCAAAGACAGTGCAAAATTGTTATAATTCTGTTTATTTCTGAAAATCCTAATGTATGTTTGCTTAATAATAGTAAACCTCTTTGTTTTGGATACCAGGCATAAGCAACCAGTAGGAAACACTAAATTGTTTCCTTATACATTGCTGCTTTCCTCAGGTTGACTCCTTCCTACATTCTCTGTGGAGCTGAACTACTACTTCTGCATCCATTTAAATGGATTTAAAGGAAAATTCTCATTTGAAAGCTTAACATAAGGCCTTGAGACTCACATTTTCAGTTACTGTTTATGGATCTCTATATTTTAAATTTGAATGTTTGATGTTTGTGGAATGTCATCTTCCTGAGTCTTCAGCTTTAAACATTCTTGACTGGTTTTTGTCTGGTAACATATGAATTGCCCAGAATATCCAATACTTTGAAATGAAATCATTACCAAACTTTACATTGTTAGACTAGGCACTGAAATACAGGATGCAAAAACCCACTGCTTGGTTTCTTAATAGGATATGTAGTTGTTGATAATCTGCTCAGGATTAGTCTTGTCTAAGGGTTATGTGGCAATTTCTCTTGGCCATTACAATTATCATCATTGCAATATTCATTTCGACTGGGGCCATGATGATACAACTTAGTGTGAGAGAACTGAATTTTCTTTTCTGTATGTGTGACTTTGCACTGTCCTAGCACATTTTGCAAGATTTTATATCTTATTTCACAAGACATAAGAGATTAGATACCATCATGTAGTCCTTATATCTGCCTGTTCTAGCTGCTGTCATGAAATCCATTATAAAAAGGCCTTATAGTAGGAGTGACTGGTCATATAACGCATGACAATCAGGGACCAGAATAACACAACATGCCCCACATAAATTTCTGTCCGTTGATCAAAATCTCATGTGTAAAACCTGTCCTGGCTTCTGTCAGACCGTGCTTTCAATAATCGCTGTTCAAAATTTCAGTCAAGCTGAGGAGAATATATAAAGTACAAAACTTTGCAAACTCTCTCCTGCTGGGGAATCTAAATACGTTTCCACTTGCCAAAGAGGTAATACAGTCTCCTGTGAGATGGGGCACTGTACTGTCCCTCAGAACATAGCCATTTGATTTCCAGCTTTGATGCTAATATGCTGTGTCACTGGGCAAGTTGGTCCATATTTTTGTACCTCAACTTCTGCCATATCTGGGGCAGGATCTATTTCATATTCTACTCACACCGTGTGCAATAACAGCTTGGGGTCTCAGTGACATAAAAAATTACAAACTATGATGAGTCAGAATTTTGGTACTCAAAGGCAGCAAACACAGATTAACATGTTCTGGCTCATATTTTGTCCATCTTTGAGGACACAGCCAAGATGTTGCAAAGGACAAAGCATGGGACCAAGCAGGGAGACTTACCTTCTAGTCAATAAGGACTACTAGCTCAAGACATCTGCATCTCCTGTGTCTCACTGTCCTGCTCTGTGTGCTGGAAATAAGAGGAATTGCACATCTCTGAAAACCCCTTCAGAATACAGAAGTAAAAACCATTTTGCAAGGACAAGTAAAGAGAAGTGTGTATATTTCAGGGGTGTTTCTATTGTCTCTATGTCCACTGCTGTAGTTGAACATTTCATGCTTCCATGGTAGACTGAACATTCTGGTACCATTTATTTCCTTATCTGCGGAGACCATAAATACAATATTGCTTTTACTAGGCAACTCTGACATTGATAACAGACATTTATAGAACATGTTCGGAAATTAGTATGTTTCGCTCAAATGGACTGTCAGTGTAACGACTTTAACAATAATACATGAGGTGCAATGATTTCTTATCATCCAGAGAACTGTGTTTCTGCTGCAGTGCTGCCCTGTTTCCTTCTCTGATAATCTGTTTTGTTGCAGGAGAAGGACCGAGTTTTTTGAACTTGTCAGTAAAGGTGGTTATGATTGGAATATAAAAAACCACCGAGAAATATTTCGGTGAGCACTATTATTTCTTGCTTTCTGGTTATTTTAAAATGTAGCCCTATTTGTTTAAAGAATTTCACATATCATGGGGTGAAGACTTCAGAGTAACAAGAGAAGGTAGCTTGTTTTAAAAATATGATCCATGACATGAAATATATGGTATGATTTCTAAATACTACCAAACAGCAGAGATGTAGTCATTGTGACCTCACCTTCTCCATTCCTGTTTCTGCCTTCACACTCTGTCATGTTTTCTCTCCTTTCTCCCAGCATCACCAGCTCAGCCCTTCCACTCTTTCTCCAGTAATCATCAATATTCTGCCTCAGGACACAAAGATCTTTCTTGTCCATTTCCCCATCTTCTCCTCCTCTCAGCTGTTTTCTGTTACTGACCATGCTTCTCTCTGCTCTTCTAGTCTATAACTGGGAATTTGCAGATACATGATAATCTTCTAAGCTCTCAGGAATGATCTGAGTATGCATCCTATTGAAAACCTCAGACGTTGTGGGTGGTTTGAGTACACCATGCTTTTGAGACAATAAAATGTGTGCATTTGCATATGCATGCCTGATTATGTCTCATTTTATCTGAAATTTCATTAGAATTCTTTTTCCTTTTGGTCTTTTGACCAAAATATTGGACATTTTCTATTTTCCATATCATTTCACCCATTCCTAATTTTAGATTCAGGCGATATATTTGATGCTTCATTTTCAGTGCCCTTGTTCTTCATTTAAACTTTCTTAGACTTTTATCTGCATCATGGTACTGTACATAAACGCTTTCTACAGCTGAATGGTTTCTTTCTCCTAATGCATATAAAACATGGTTGTAGCTAGGTATTAAACTACAGTGGAACAGTATAGCTCATAGTAAATCTTGAATTTTTATTGTAGATGAGCAGTAGAAACTGCTTAAACAGTGTCTGGGATGCCTCCTGTGATTATAGGTTCTCTTGCTACAGCAGTCACTTACAAATAGGCATATAAATTAATCCGGTTTGCAGGTGTTATTATGTAATTATATCCTTACTCATATCATGTTAAGCACATGCTTTCTAGTATATTATAGGTATTAACATAAGTACTGTTAGAAGTATTGCAAAATTAGCAGTTACTCTCTTGCAATATCATTTCTTTTCTAAGTGTGCAATGCACAATACCAAAATTCATCATCTGATGACCTGCAACACATAAGGCTTCCTAGCCACAATTGTGATGTAAAAGCCATGCTGATGGCTGAGATTTCAAACATGTCATTCTTTTCTGGAGCAAAAGAAGGTGCCAGGGCTGACATTTTATATATGTATTATTTATTTATGCATCCAGAGGAGAGTTGTTTAGAAATCCAACAAAGGTTGATTCAGCTTGTATTGTTCATTTCTGTTTTTCAGATCAATGCTAATGACAGCCTGTGACCTTGGAGCTGTGACCAAACCGTGGGAGATTTCAAGACAGGCAAGTCATGATTAATAGCAGGGCTGGGAGGAGGCGGGACTGGCGGGACAATATTCCCAGGGCCCTGGCTTACAAGGGACCAAAACTGGAATCAATTTACAGCGGTATTAGTGCTATAAAAAAAATAGCAGGGGGTTTCTGCAAGAAATAGTTTATTGCATAATCTTTCCATGTACACATGCTGGTGAGCAGCATGTAGGTACCTGAAGAGATCTGGCTTTACAACCTCTCCTCTTATTAACCTTTTAAATCCATATCAAAAAATGGATGGATTAAACAAAAAACCTGTTAGCCACATGTAGCTGTGCTCACCCGTCTTGCCCCAAAGTTTTCCATGGCAGAATCTTCCCTAAATCAAAAATACCACTACATGATCTGCAAATGTTGAATAACGTAAAATCTTCAGTATATATGATAAGAGAAATATGTTCATTTTCTCAACACTGATGGAAAAAACTGCAAGTGTAGTATAGAGCCTTTTTCTGATGTCCTGTACTTAGAAACAAAGAAATAAAAATTGAGGCTTCGGCTCCTGAGTAGGCTCTTTAGAAATATACATAAAACTTGGGTCCAGCATTGGGAAACAATTACAATGTGAGAAGGCAACCTGTCCCAAAAGTCTTGTCCTTTAACACATCATTTTCCCTCTTCTAGGCATCTTTCCTTATTCAGCATCCATCCTTAATATTTCCTGCATCCACACGAATAATTCTCTCTTCTTTACTGAGGTCCAGAACAAGGTAGTAGGAGGCAGGCTGTGTAGGGGTTTGGAGGAATACACAGCATCAAGAAGCAATAGGAAATACACCAGCGCAGCTGAATGTGGATAAGCACCTGGAGGGAGTTTGATTGGCTTAACAGCAAAGTGATAGTTAAAAAGATGGGGTGAAAAAGAGAAGCTAGAACAGAGAACTAGTGAGGCAGGAGCAGCCAGATTTCTTGGATAAGGACAAGGAGGTAACAGAAGCTGAAAGGAACCTACAAAGTTTACCTGCACGTTAACTGAGTAAAAAAGCATTTATGTGGTGAGGGCTTCACCTCAGCTTGCAGTTTTGTCAGATGAGTCTTTTTTACTTTTCTAAGCAGACTATGACAAAAGTCCTTCTAACACTGTTACTCTGCTTGTTCCGAATATGGTCACCTCACATGAAAATCAGGGAAGTTGCTCCTATCTTGCAGTGGGAAAATGAGAGAAGATTTTTCAGTGCCACCTAGCTACAGCTGCAGCATGTGCAATCCTTCCTCATTTTTCCTCTTTAACCCAGTTAGCTTCTCCATTTTTGTTGATAACCAAAATGTCAGGTAGGTTTTTTGTTTTCCATGTTGTCAATCCTTGTGCTATGGTGCTGAATTAGTTCCAAAGTCTCTGGCAAACTGGTTTTTTATCCTTATCACTTTTGAGGTCTGCAAGTGAATATTCCCCTGCAGCCTAATGCAAAGATTTTCTTTATATTGAAAAGTCCAGTCTGGAATTGATTGAAACACTACCTGGTTGAGCAGAGAGGCTAATAAGTCCGCACAGGGAAAACAGGAAATAGTTGGACTCAAATGTGCCGAAAGAAAAAAAAAAAAAAAAAAAAAAAAAAAAAAAACACATCAAAAGTGAGGGAGAAAGAGATTAAAATACATGAATCAAAAGGAATAAAGGCTACATGTAAAAAGGCAAAATTCAGGAAGAGAGGATAGAAAGAGATGATAGAAGAGGGAAAGGGACACAAGGAGAACAGGATCAGAATAGCGGTGAGAGTCAGGGCTGAGACTATATCTTGATTATTTTTATACAATACACTTGGCAAACCCTTAATTGCTGCTAAGTTGTTAAATTATTCCTCTATCTGAAATATTGATCCAGAATTTTATTAGTGTGCTGGGATTACATACATTATCAAGTTTCAAACTATGTGATAGCCTGGCTTAAGATTTAAGAGTACTTTACAACATCACTTCACCTACTTCCAATTTATTTTGGTACTCCTTATTTCAACTGTAACAAGCTTAGGATTTGTGAATGTTAGCTACCACACAGTTGCTAGAGCAAGAAATTTTGAGATTTTATGAAGTGCAGGTTCTCTGCTTAGTTCACTCTTCTTGTGCCTTGGTATTATTGAACCACTTCCTAGCTTGAAAACACATGAAAACAATAAACAAGCAAAACAGGAGCTTTAGGAACTGAATGCCATCTTCAGTAGATGCGTTTCCTTTGTTTGCGTCTCAGAGACACATTTGCCTACCTTCAAAGGCCCACGCAAGAGAAGAATACAATATATAAAGGCTGCTTTATCACAATTGCTCACTGTTTGACTTCCAAAAATTCCTGTTGTTTCCATAACTAATTTTGTTTATAAAACGTGTATTCTGATAAGCACAAACCTCTGCTGTGAATAGAACATCTTCGTTCACGAAAGTCAGAAAGATGCATTCCAACCCACCAGATTTCTTGATTTTGATTCAATATGATAATCACAATGTGAGTTCATATTTAGATATTGATATCCTATAGTGATGACAGTCATAGGAAAAACGTAAAGCCTAGTGGGGAAAAAAATGATTAATTAAGTCTTTTTGCTAAGTGGGGTTGATCATATATGGCAACAGCCTGTAAATACCCAGAGAGCTCTTGCACATTTTACAACACATTTTTGCAGATACAACTGTGGATGCCAACGAGAAGCTATAATTTTCTGTTCTGTTCTCCATACTTGAGTAAATTGCATATAGCTGCATTGAGTGCTACCTCGACATTGCAATGTCATTTCCCCAGTCGATTCCCTATCAAAATGAGGTAAATGTACCCATCAGTGGTTATGACTGTTCATACCCCTGTATGTCCAGTCATGAAAACTATACAAACATGTACCTAACATCAGTCATGTAAGCAACTTCACTTCTTTACAGTTAAGCACAGGCTGAAGTCATGGTCTGAGCAAGAATTCATTACCCTAAAAATCATGCAGCAAGAACTCTAATCTTTATCATGATTTATGTTTTAGGCAGCTGAGCTGGTAACCAGTGAGTTCTTTGAACAAGGGGACAGAGAAAGATCTGAACTCAAACTCACCCCTTCAGTAAGTTTTTGTTACTTCTGAAATAGTTACTAACTTGAATAGGGTAAGAAAATATCATTGGGTTTATGCAGAAAAACTAACTGTATTTTGCATGTAAAGAAAAATCTTGGGATAATTTAAAGTTCTGTTCAATAAGGACATGAATTTAGAGCCATACATAAAAGTTCTTCAGTCAACTCAGTTTTGTGTTGAGCCCTTTTCCCCACTTTCTGTACCTATTCCCAAGGTTATTCTGTCAGTTAATATTCTAAGCAACAGGTATTGTTTTCAATACATGGTATTCAAGTAAAAAATCAACAGCTACTTATGGAAATCAGAATTGTCAGATTTACTTTATGCTGCAGACTTCTGTCTGTGTTATTTGATTTATCAAATGCTGTATAGGTATACAACTAAATATAACACTGTCATTGAAAGGATAAATTGGTATTGAGTGGAATATAGGAATAGAATATTGGAGCAGAATATAAAGTGTCAAACAAGAACTAAGAAAAAACATTTCATCAAGATTTTCAGTGAATGATTTGGAGAGAAAGCCTTATCCAGGTTAAACACTTTTAAATGTTGACAAGCCATCATCTGAAGGCAACAGAAGAAGAGTAACAGAAAGTATTCTAAAGAATTTAACTTACAAGCCATTCAAAAATATGTTTACGCTTCCAAAAATAAAAAGATTATTCCAGTGGCTCAGACTTGTTCTCACTTCAGTAGTACTTGCACATGAGTCTGTGGTGATGTAATGAAGTCAGTGAAGTTAAAAAGTTTGTAGTAAATAATGCTCAGATACAACAAATGGCTTTTCACTTTATATACTGTCAGAGGTTGGGACATTAATGGCTTTCTTCCCTATAGTATATAGTTCTGTGTGTACATCTTAGAAAAATTGGTAGCTATAGTCCAGCAGATGAGCAATCAGTCAGTCATGATACAATTCCGAGACCAAATCTAGGCCTGAATAACTGCAAGTACCGTTCAATAGAATATGGGTGTAAGTGCCTTTCCTGCCTTGTATGTAAAATTTGCAAAGTGTGTCTCTTATGCTAATGAAATATAATAGAAAGTAATTTTATTTCAGCAGACACATTAATGTCACTGTCTTCGAGTAGCAATGAATTCCAGTGCAAATGGCCCAGGTCCACCCACATTAAGAATTATTTTAAGGTGTATTGTTACAGCTACATTTTGAACATATTGTAGACTTGGCAGAAGTGCAGAGAAACACAAAAGCCAGATCTCTCTTCTGGACTCATGTCTTCTGAAAATCTGCATACAACAGGCGTTTCCACCTAGACAGGCAGGAAAGAAGAGTGTATTGCTATAAATATCTTCAGTATTTCCTCCATCATAGGAGCCCTCTCACTCTTCCTTTGGGCTCTACAGTCTGCACCAAGGAATACAGTAATTTGTGGGCCACATGTAGGATGCCTTGAAGCCATACAGCTTAAAGGAAGATTTTCCTCTCTGGCCCTTCATAATTTAAAAAAATCCAGTAAACTGATGTATTTAGTGTTTTATGTATTAAGTATTGGGAGATAAGGCCGGTAAATAATCACAGGGTTCATGAATTATAACAGTTGATGGCTAAGGGTCAAAATCATGTACAGTTTTACCACATTAATGAGGAATTTTTAAATAAGATCAAATGCCAATGTATTTCATGACATATCACTATGTCAAGCCACCTCAGTAAGTATTGCTGCTAGTTAGATAAGACAGTTGTTAGCAAGATAATGTGATATTCTCTTGTCTTATAACCCAAGGATTTTTTTTTCTTGTGTTGTGCTTGTAACAATCTGAAAATGACAAGATTTTTCAAAATTATGAAAATAGAAAATACAGAATTTTCCAAAAATCCTAAGATTCTCATTTAAGATCACAGAGTCCTTGATTCTTACCTCCTGGTCTTATTTAGACATACTGTGTGATACCTGTGTATGTCAGAAAGAGCAGGCTACAACTAGAAGAATTCAACCAGATATTTAATGTAATGTAATATGTGTAGTCTGGAGTTTCTAGAAGGTAGAGTAGGAAAGTATGTTTTCTGAGGAGACATCAACCTTGAGACAGGCCCAGAATAAGAACAGACTTTCCACCAAAAAAGACAGAATTATTTAAAACTTGGCATATTCAGAGAGTGAGGAAAAAAAAAGAGAGAGAGACATTCAGTAAAAGGTGTGGATGGGCCACTAGAAGGAGGATTAAAATCCTGTACATAGAAAGCTGATGTGCCCAAGTAATCTCAGAAAGAGTACGGAGAAAACAACTCACGTTCAAACTCTGCAAGAACTCAGTTTTTTCCATCTCCTTTCAGCCAATAATTAAGCCTCTTAAACATCAGCTTCAACCTCCATAATTTCCTCTCTGGGGGAGTGCAGTGAGCAGTCAATTAGGCTGTTTCCAGAGGAACAAATTGAGAACTGCTCCCAAAATGGATCTGTTGATTCCTCACCCTTTGGATTCACAGACATAGCTGGTTCTGCAGAAAGGGTCTGAGAAAGGCTCAATTTGTAACTGGGAGGGGGGAGCTGGCTCAGATCCACTACCTACCCCGGTTCATTCTGCTGAGCTGGAAAACCCAATGTGGGAAAAGGGAAATTTCTACTCAAAGGTATCTACTTTACATTTCTGTACAAGGTTTCTTACCAGCTTAAATCCAGCTATGAAGCATTTATGTTACATCACAGAATTATAAAATTCAAAACAGCCTACAAATTTCAAAACAGAATTGAAAATAAACAGTTTATTTTTCATGCCAGACAAAGCAGTGAGAAGACTGCTGCAAAGATTGATTACAGTTTACAAAGTGTTCTGGTTGTGAGAATTTGATCATAGCTCCAAAGTGCTGGATGATGTGTCTGTAAAATACTCCGGTGTAATAAAGCATGACAGTTTTGTTCCCTTCTCAATTCAGGCCATTTTTGATCGGAACAGGAAAGATGAACTACCCAGGTTGCAGCTCGAGTGGATTGATAGCATCTGCATGCCACTGTATGAGGTAATTTTTACTTACTGCTCCTGTAGAGTCCTGAGAAGATTGTTCTTGCCCCTCTAGGGTAAAAGAGTTAGCTTACAGTGCAGTCTTGAAGGCTATTTGAACTCTTATCTTTTTTTGACTTTACCAAAAGTCTGAACTCTATGCAGAAATCTTCAGATTTTCTGAAGGTGGTAATATCTGTAAACATAATTCCTCTCTAAGTTATAAAAGCTGATAGGGCAACTGTTCATTTTATTACGTTTGAAACAAACTGATTCTCATCATGTCATGGTGTGGAGAGAGGTGCCAGAGAGATGGCCTCATTAGGTGCTGCTGTCAAACCTGTCCAAATATGTGTGACCCAAAGGAAAATTCAAGGCTGAGCCTTTCCACTCCCTTCTGGCTCCTTCCAAACTGTTAAGGGGCACTCTAGGCCAAACCTTTAAGGTCAATGATAAATGTTTTGTGGTTTAACCTGTATGCTCTTTAACTTGGAGTTTATTCTTTTAGTCATGCTTCTACACAGACTGCATGGGTGCTTGGTATAAGGTGCATAAGCTCTCAAGTACTACTTTGTTAAGGTTGTAGATGACCAGAATAATGCTTCTCTCTCATTGGATTAAATCAGCTTCAGGATTTGACTTGGGTAACATAAACTTCACCATTTTAACTTCTTCTGTCTTATTTGTATAGAAAGCAGAGCTACATGTGCAGGATGATAAATGGCAAATAACACTGTAGAAAATCAACCATCAATAACTGTGTCTGCCAGTCTTCCTTCTACTCACTGAAACCATGCAGACCACCTTATGTCAATAAAGACTGACAGATTGGCCACTGGTAACTGGGAAAACGTGGGGATGTTCTCACTAGGCATTTTTGGGGAACTGCAACAAGTTCCCCCTGTACCACTGCACCTGAAACTGCCTTACATCTCCAAGCAATGAACAGGCCACTGATGATACTAAGCCAAGAGTTGGGAAGAAGGTACCAGCTCCCATGTTAACATTAAACTGATGATCTTGTCCCTGAATGTAGCTTCCCTGCAGAGAAACAAAAACAGATTGGCAGTTCCTTTTCATTGTATAGACCAGATATGTCACCGGTAGCACACGAGGTAAGAAGGATGATGTGCTTTCACTGCCCTCTATACCTTGTGGCAATCTGAGGCTGCCGCGGTTGTAATAATGAAGTGACTGTCCAGCCACAAAGGCTTCTGTTGTGGAACATGGACAACATGTGCTTCTGTGAACAGCGAGGTGGCCTACTGCTTTGTCAGTAGATCCTGTCCCTTTCTTAGATCAGTCTTTGTACAATTAAGGCAAAGCAAGCACAGAAGAATATAAACCTGTATTTTTTAAAATACCAAGATCATTTTGGACAACATGGTGGAGGGAGGTGACATGACTGACATTGGATGAAAACTCTTTAAAAATAATGTTCCTTTCAATATAATAGTTCATATTACTCTAGAATGGATATTATACCAGAATTCATGATTTGTAATAGCATCTGTAATCCAAAAATACAAAAAAAGCAGAAAAGGCTGATAATCAGCCCATCCTCTGCATGAGAAGACTACATCTGAGCACTAAAGCTCTGGTTAGTTAGCTCCATCTTAGCAGGAGATCTCTGGGGAATATATTCACATCTGATTTCCCTGCTTTCTGCTGTCTTTGCATCATGCTGTGCAGCTATTAGCCTGCTGCTCAACAACTTAAAAAAGAGACACCATCAAACCTGGAAGTCATTGCAGCTCCAGCCTTAGGGGTAAACAGAAAACTTGATGTCATAGTATCACACTGCGGGAGATTCTCTCTTCAATGTGGAGCCAAGTTTTAATTTTCATATCCAGCTTAATCAAACCTCAATACACATATCACATCAGCAGTGTATTCAGGCATTGTAAATCCTCTGTTCAGGGCTGGCTGAACACTACAGCTATGGCTATGTCCTAGATTTCTTTTTTTTCTGTCCAAATACATTCTTTAAAATTGTAGCTGTTGTAATATGTTGTAGGAACTGCATGTGGAGAGAGAATGGGTTACATCATTACAAATGCAACATAAAGAAGCGTTGTGGCAGCTGACAAATTAGTAAAATCTTAGTGGTACTTGTATAGCTGGCTAGCATAGCGCTTATAAAACCCTTATGTTTGAAATAAACATTTGACACTCATTTTGATACCAAAATTACAATATTATACCATAGAGAACAAAATCAAGGCTTTTGCATGTAGTTTTGTCCATGCTAGCGATCAGAAGTCCTGAATCCATGTGGGCAGATCCTAGCATCCAGATCCCCGAAGGGAACTCTGTGGGGAATGCATGCGTCCATACCAATACAGTTGCTACAGCAGGACCTAATGCTGTGCTCTGTGTTATTTGACACCCACACAGTAGAGATGGTCCCAGCAACCAGTGAATGCTGGTAACTTCCATTAAAGTCAGACAGCAGATCAGCAGACCCCCTTGAATTTTCTTTGTTCAAAGTAGTTCCCAAGAGTAGGCAATTCTTGGGATCTCTGAAGTTTGAAATACAGAAGAAACTTCACAGGCCAAACTTCCAGGAGTGGTCTGACACCACCCCAGTGCCACCGACAGTACTATAACAAACCATACCTTCTCCATAGTCCACGCTTATGAGCTAGGCTACACACCAGAGTGCCCATGAGGAATGTTTCATATTTAAAACAGTATATAAACTTTGCAGAGAGTTATGGTCTTCCTAGACTTTTTTCACCATTCTGAAACATTCTCTAGGACTTGATCAGTCTTCTGAGGAGATTTGGCACTACCTCCTCCTTATACGTCTGCTCTGCCCTCTGCATTTCCTTCAAGTAGCTCAAGACAAGCCACTCTGAGGTGCAGTTCTTCTCCCAAGTAAAGTATAATTAAGTCTTTTTTATCGGTGGATGTGTATCACATTCCTCTGCTTACCTGGCTAGAAGTGTTTTCTGAGTTTGGCCCCTTTATGTGAGGAGCTTTACAAGTGACAAGCAAATCATCAAGATCTATTCAACTTCCATTAGTAATCCTGTTTGACTGGCCCTTGGCATACCCATCCCACCCAGAAGAAAGAGGGTCACAGATATCCAAAACATGCTACATCATAACATGGAACTTGAAGCTGAATATAGATATATAATGATAACTGGGGATATAAATAAATAAATACATACCAGGAATTACGTACAGCTAGATTTCCCATATCCAAGTATCTAAATCCAACACCTTTTTGTATTCACTCTGTAAACCTGACTGCTCTTGGCACAGGGTAAGCCACAGCTCTGCTCCCTTGCTCTCTCCCACATCTGCTGCTCAATGTGGGAATCAAGCCACCTCCAATTTCAAAATACCTTAGTAATCAAATCTGTTTCCTTCACACTGTGGATCAAAGGTTTGTGAAGATAAAAGCTTCCCAATTTTTTGTTCATTGCTTTTTATTACACTTGGGACATTATAATTTTATTGAATTTACTTTTTTCTTACTGTAGTGATCACTGTTCAGAGTATTTTTATGTGACAGTGGAGTTTGTGCCTTGAGTAGCAGAACAGCCATCCATTTACTCTGAAGCTCTGATTTTAGAGGTTTTAGTTACGCTTTACTGCATCACATTTGCTCTTCATTCAAAAATGCCAGCAAGAAAAGCGTTCATCAGTAGAGATGAGAAACAAGCTTATTAGAATAATAATTTATAAGGAAAAATGCATTTTTTGGAACTGTAGAACATTTCAAATCTACTAATGTAGTTTTAGTGTGAAGTAATCATCTCCTTTTTTGTTAGAATATTCTATAAAGGGGAAGCACGTGTGACTTAAAGCAGAAAATCTAAGACATTCCACTGAAAATAAAGCACTGTGGCTACACTGACAGATGAATTCACGACAGAGAGCAAGTACTCTGTGCTTATTTGGACATACACATTCGTGTAACAGGAAACGAAATTTTGATCATTAAGAAAAATCACCTCTCTGACCCTCCTGTAAAGAGATGCTAAGAGTTTCAACAGTAACAGATTTGTCTCCTGGATTCTGTGGTTTGTGTATACCAAAAACAGGATCAGTCACAGATTTTTCCCAACTCAGATTAGATTTCTCTGTGGGGAGCAGACAGAGTGGGAGAGTGAAGGTCTTATTCTTTTTAATCATTATTTTTCTCACAAACAACATCAAAGCTTCAGCGATTCCCATCAAACAAAAGATGCTAACAGAAGCCCAGCTCTGTTCACAGCATTGTTAGGCAGAGACAGTAACACTATGAATAGCAGGGCCAAAGGCCATGCACTCTGCTTCTGGGCAGATAAATACAGAGTCAGGTAGTCAGTGACAATGACAGCAGCTATTTAAATTTAAGGGAGATGTCTTTGTGGAAGATAAAGAAGCTCACAGCTTTTACAACTTATGCATGTCTGAGATTGCCCTGCTCACCTCTACCTTGGTGCTCCATTGAACTGCTCCATTTTAGTGCTATTTTTAGTGCTATTCAAGATTTTCTTGGGTATTGAGAGCTTTAAACATAAAATAGTATCTACAGAAGTGAATTTGCATTACTCCATCCAGGATTCTAGGGGGAATCTGGGAAGAGTAGAAACACTTATGTATAGCCTAGCAAGTATTTTAAATGCTTTGAATGGAATGTGGAAGGACAGAGTCCTTCTTTATCACATTGTTTGATGTATTTAGAAAGAAATCTAATCACTCTGTCTACAACTCCAAGAGCTCTGATATGCCTGTCTTCCTACAGAAGATAATGTCTAGCCTTGTAATTAAATCTGTCTTTAGAGTATCTGCAAAGGCATCTATTCTGCTTGCAAGCATACATTAAATGCACAGGGTATCGTAAATGGTAGAACCTCTACAAAGCAGAGAAAAAATACACAGAAATCTCCAATAATCATGGCTACCTCTGTGCTTTAAGTTCCTCAGATCACGACTTGACTCTGACACCCGAATTGGAAGTGCATATGTACACACAGTGATTTTATTCCAAAAGTGTATACTCTAGTTACAATTATAAGG